TTTACATATGAAGAAACTTACCCAAGATCACAAGGAGGCCTGGAACCCAGGCCCTCTAACTCCTAAGCCAGGGTTATTTCTACTGTAGGCCAATGCCTCAACAATCCTAAGAGGTCAGCTAGGTTCTTAGCCATTTTTTGCACGGATCCCTTTAGCAGTTTAGTAAAACCTATGAACCTCTTCTCTAGCTAATGTTTTAAGTGCATAAAATGAGATACATGAGATTATGAAGAAAATCAATTATGCTGACATAGTTATCAACATATTTATTTGTGTGCTGTTTTCTTTGCTTCTTTATTTATCTTTTGCACACTGGGTATCCTTAACTCATCAGGACCTACTCATGGCCCTGATCCCACTTCTGATTGGCAGAAAAGCTTTGACCTGCTGTATTTTTAATCTGGCCCAATTTGACCCTCTTTCGGCAGCTTGGTGCTCTCTGCTTCCCCCACAATACAAGGGTCTCACCGTGACGGTGGCAGACAATTCGGATACTCTGTTAGTTTCAGCCTTATCCACAAGGCTACCCAGCAGCAAGGGATTATTGTTGTTTAGTCATTTTCAGTCCTGCCCAGTTCTTTGTGACTCCATTAGGGTTTTCTTGGCAAAGATACTAAAGTGGTTTGACATTTCTTTCTCCAACTTATTTGCAGATAAGTAAACTGAGGCAAACAGGGTGAAGTGACTTGCCTGGGGTTACATAGCTAGTGTCTGAGGTAGGATTTGTGTGCTTTGTGCAAGGAGAGTCAGCTTCTAATTACAGTGCCTGGTAAATTGTAAGCACTTAATAAATGCTTGCTGATTTGATGGCTCCTGACTGTGCAGGCCCAAGAGAAGCTACTGTGTACCTCAGTCCTCCCTCCTCCTACCTTACAATAATTGCTCAGTACCCCTGCTTTGCTGGAATATTAGGGGGGTAATTTAAGAGGTGGAGGGCATGGGGAAACTCATATCAGATTTGAAGTCTATAAAATATATAGTATAAAGTTCACCCTTCAGCTGTAAAGATGCCTTCAATGGGCTGTTCCTTGGTTATTCTATAATCAGCTCTTCCTCCCCCAACTCTACACCAGAATTACAGATCCATTTTCCCACCTGGTGGGTGTCCCATCTTTAAACTAGGTGGGGAACGGTGGTGAAAACCATGTGTTTCCACTGGGTGAGAAAGGGGAATCAGCAGGACCTGCCCCAGCTGTTCTACATAGAAAATAATCTCATTCCCAGAATCACCAGGATTGGTTAAATCTCACCCCACCCACCTCTCCCATGTTGTTCAAGTATATTTTTCTAGCCCTCCAAGTCAAGGAGTTGATCATTGCCCTAGTTCAAAGAGTTTGGGACCAATTCACTGGTGCAATTAGTGTCCAAAACAGCCACTCCACACCCTATTTGTTCTTCCCCCTTTCCTTCTCAAGAAAAAGGAGGTCTTTATCTCAACAAGGAAATAAAATGTTTCCTTGATGGGAAATCCCCAAAGGAAAAAAAAAATAAGCTGAGAAACAATTCTATTTGCTGATGGCTAACCTTAGCCCTCAGGAGGACCAGGAAAGGCTCCTCATATTAAAGAGGGAGCCAGTAGACAATGACAAGGAGACTGTTTATTTCTGTCCGATTTGGGGCCCTCCCTTCTCCCCTTCTTACCAATACCTTGGCAATCTCTTTATCTTTATAGGACACCCAATACTAAAGGTAAGCCTGATCTCCTTCCTCCTTCATAACACTCACTTGTTTTTCCAACTTTTTTTTCTTAACAAGCTGGTTCCCAATGCTGAATCCAGGCAAATTCTATAGGAAATACCTGCTTCCTTTCTTCTATAGACTGGGATCTGAAGCTAAGAGGAGGGGAGGGGACTTGAGATGGACTTGAGTTCTGCTTCTCCTCCTGGTGTAGTAATGGGTCTCCAGCCCCATGTACCCGGGCCCTTGAACCAACCATGGAGGAGAAGCTCACAGATATAGAGCAGAGGGACTTTAGAGGTCAACTAGGTCAATCTGATCATTTTACAGATGAGGACACTGAGGCTCAGATATGTAAAATTACTTTAGAGCTGGAATTCAAATCCAGGTCTTCTAATTCAGAATCCCAAAGACTTTCTATTATACCAAGGCTGGAGGAAACAGCTCGTTGCTTAAAGTACTGGACCTGGAGTCAAGATGACCTGAGTTTACATCTGGCCTCAGGCACATTAGCTATGCGACCTTAGACAAGTCACTTAACCTCTGTCTGCCTCAGTTTCCTCAACTGCAAAATGGGGAAAATAAGAGTACCTACCTCCCAAGGATATTGTGAGGATCAAATGAAGTAATAAGGGAAGAAAGGGTACCGCATTTATATAGCCCCTACTATGAGTCAGGCACTGTTATTCCCTTCACATCATGCTGCCTCTATAGACCTAGCCTGTGGCAACATCCACATTATACTCCATCTTATCCTGAGACCTGCTTTCCTTTCCTAGCTGCATGCTAGCTCTGTTACCTTCAGTAAGTTACTGAACCCCTCTGGGCCTCACCATGATCTGTAAATTGAGTCAACTGCCAACAGGATGGGAACCAACTTTCCTAGCATCCTGAGTAAGTCACTTAACCTCTCTGAGTCTCAATTTCCTTATCTGTAAAATGGGATTGCTTTATCTTATAGGGGTGTTGATTTGTAAGTCTCAAAGTGATATATAAAGGTACACTTTCCATTGTCTTCCATCAAAGTCCTACTTGGGTGATGGTAGTGTTAACGTGACCCTGGATTCTTTCAAAATGGACTTTTGGAGCACAAGCTTTGAGTTCCAGCCAAGTAATGGATAGTATAGCCATTGTGTAAAGATTGGCTTGGCTAAGATTCATCAATCTCAATCACCACTTTGATCCCCAGTGATATTTTTTTAGCTACAACTTTCAAAGTATTACCCACCAAAGTCACTGAAAAGTTGTGAATTGCACTGATGTCATAAGTAGCTATACCCACAGGTTCATAGGATCCTAAATCTGGAGGGGAGCTTTGAAACCATCTAGTTCAACCCCTTCATTTTGCAGATGGGAAAACTGAGGCCCAGTGAGAGTCTGATTTGCCCAAAGTCACACAGGTCATTATTGTTTGTTGTTGTTCAGTCATTTCAGTCATGTCTGACTCTTCATGACCCCATTTGAGGTTGTTGGGGTTTTTTTGTCAAAGATACTGGAGTGATTTGCCATTTCTCTCTCCAGCTCATTTTATGGATGAGGAAACCGAGGCAAACAGGATTAAGTGACTTGCCCAGTGCCACACAGCTAGAAAATATCTGAGGGCAGATCTGAATTCAGGAAAATGAGTCTTCTGACTTCAGGCCTGGTACTCTCTACCTAGCTGCCCCAAGTGTCTCCAGTACTAAGCATCAAAGATGGAAATTGAACCCAGGTCTTCTGACACTGTACCATGATAACTCCTTATCCTGGTCCTATGAACTATTGAGCCATTCATTAATGAATTAATTAGGTATTCTCTAAGATAGCTTCCTACCCTGAAATTCTATGTTTCTATGTTCCTTCCCCCAGAAGGCTTTAAGAAGAAATAAGTCAAGGTCACTTCTATAATATGCTTAGCCTTGGGCTAGGCACTGTGGGGTCAAGGAAAGGGGAAAAAGGACCTAAAAGGATCATGAGGCACAACTTTGACCCTCAAAACATTTATGGCGCTAGAGATTTAAAACAAGAAATTTCCTTAGGAGCCATGTAGTCCAATTTCTACATTTTATTCACAAGAAGTTCCAAGAAATTAAGTGACTTACCCAAGGTACGTAAGTGACAAAGGTGAGATTTTAACCCAGCTTCCTTGCTTCTAGAACCTACACACTTTCCATTGTACCATGACACCTCCAGAGTTAGGAAGAAAGAACACATTTATAGAGATGCTTCATTACTTCCAAAGATTTAGGATTTCATCAGTGGGGGTGCCTTTCTTCTGACACAAAGCAGCACCTGTCCCAGCTTTAGTTGACAGTTTTCATGAGTTGCTGCAGCCAAAATGATTCATCCCTTTGGTTGCCAATCTCCTGGTGATGAGGTTCTGCTCTTTTAGCTAAGTTGGTTCTCTGATAATGAATACATAGCCCATCACTGAACTACTTGTGGCCTCGAACCCTACCTGGAAAAGCCTAGGTCAGTGCCATTCCCAAAACATGCATTAAGTGCCTACCATGTGCTAGCTAGGGCAGCTAGATGGTACAGTGAATGGGGTATAGGACCTAGAATCAGGAAGAACTGAATTCAAATCTGGCCTCAGATATTTACTAGCTGTGTGACCCTGGGCAAGTCACTTCACCCTGTTTGCCTCAGTTTCCTCACCTGCAAAATGAGCTGGAGAAGGAAATGCCAAACCACTCCAGTAATTTTGTCAGGAAAACTCCAAATGGGGTCACAAAGAGTTGGATATCACTGAACAACAAAAATTATTAAGTGATTAAATAGTAACTCACATGTTATATAAAGTGATTTGAGACCTCTACAAAAAAAGTGCTACAAAGGGCAGCTAGGTGGTGCAGTGGATAGAGCACTGGCCCTGAAGTCAGGAGGACCTGAGTTCAAATCTGACCTCAGACCAAAACACTTGACACTTACTAGCTGTGTGACCCTGGGCAAGTCACTTAACCCCAATTGCCTAAAAAAAAAAGTGCTACAGAAATCTGAAGAATTATTTGTAACAGTCAATAAACATTTATTAAGCACCTACTATATGCCAGGCACTGTGCTAAGTTCTGGGGATACAAATAAGAAAAAGAAAGATAGTCCCTATTCTCAAGGAGCTCATAATCTAATGAGGGAAGATAACACACAAGAAGAAGCAGAGAAGGGAAAGGAGCAGGGAATGAAGAGATGGCTGGTCTGACAGCCCTTCTTTCAGTGGAGGTCCTGGGAGGAAATAAGTATGTCACCACAGAAACACTCCTGACATCTTCTCAATCCCTCATTCCCTCCAGCAAAGGCCTCTAGAACCAAGGGCATTTCCTATTCTTGGAACAATTGTCTTCCAGGTTCTCAGATCAGAAGTGAAATCTCGGTAGCAGCTGCAATGGCTTTCTTCCTTGCCTGCCTGCTTGCTGTCCTCCCTGGTGAGTACAAGGAGACCCACTTCCACCCCCGTGTCCTGGACACACTTTCCTTCCAACCTTGAAAGTGGACGTTTCCCCAAGTATACATCAGTGATCTGTCATACTGGAGAAATACAGAGAAGCCACTTCTATCCTCCTCTTGTACGATAAATGTCATACCTGGAATGGACGTTGCATACCTAAGAATTAGTAGAGGCCATGAAGCTTTGGGTTTTTTTTGGGGGGGAGGGAGGGTGTTGTGAAGGGGGTGGGAATGGTGGTGGGACTTCAGAGCAGGGTGTTCAGGTGGAGAACAGGGAGAAGAAACACCCTCTTCCAAAGCCACTGGATCTAGTGAAGAGTCTTAGCTGGGAGTGAGGAGACTAGGCTTTCTAATAGTCAATCAACCAATCAGCTGACAATGATTTATTAAGCCCTTACTCGGTACCAAGCACTGTGCTAGGTACTGGCGACATAAAGGCAGAAAAGGAAACAATCTCAGCTCTCAAGAAAGTTATATTCTATCGGAGGAGTTAGCATGTAGATCCCTAAGTATGGATGGAATAAGTGCAAAGTAACTAAATCAAGGCAGTTGAGGAGAGAGGGAATGAGTACTTGGCAAAGGCAGGAAAAGTTTTATGAAAAGTAATATGGAAATACGTTATCTATAACTTCATATGTGTAATGGGTGTCATATTTCTTGCCTTCTCAATGGGTAGGGGAGAGGATGGAGGGAGAAAGAGAATTTGGAACTGAAAATAAAAATTAAATAAAATTTAAAAAGCAAAGAAAGGTTTCACGTAGAAGGTGGTGCTGAAGCTGAGTCTTGAAGAGAATGAGGAATTCCGAGGCAAAGGTCCCAATTCTATCACTTTGTAATCATAGGTAAGTTATTTGTTCTCTATGGTTCTCAGTTTTCTCATCTGTGAAATGGGAATGACCTGCCTTACCTAGAAGACAATGATTTTCTAAGGATGAAATGAAACAATTAAAGAATGGAGTGCTGTGAAAGTTAAAACATGATACATCCGAAGTGTATTGGTATTATTTTTGCAATTTTTATTAGTAAATCGTTTTGCATGGGGCATAGGCTGGTAGAAGTAGTGAATTATATAACTATGACAAATTAGAGCTGGCTTTTTACTCACCTGGAAGAGAGGCTGGTTTCACGGTTGGTGGGGGCCACCGCACTTAGACTTCACTTTGCACAGTCCTCAATGTATTCCTCTCCCTTTTTCCCCACAGTGGTTTCTATGAAGAGTCCCATATTTGGCCCCAAGGAGGTGGTGGGCGTGCAAGGCGAGTCTGTCTCCATCCAGTGCTTCTACCCCCCCACCTCAGTCAATCGGCATTCCCGCAAATACTTCTGTGTTCAGACTCTAAGGGGCTTCTGTGATACCATAGTCTCCTCAAATGGTTTCGTCTCCGAGAGATTTAGTGGGAGAGCCAACCTCATCAATTTCCCAGGGAATGGCTCCTTTTTAATACAGATTTCACAGCTGAAGAAAGAAGACACTGGGCTCTACAAGTGTGGTGTGGGCATAAGTAGTCGGGGTCTGTCCTTTGACATCACCTTGGAGGTGGGCCAGGGTAAGCACCAAGAATTCTTCTGCCTCTGGGGCACAGGATGAGGGAGCCACTTTAGGCTGTGGTAGGACAGATTTAAATGAAAAAACAAATAAAAACTTCCAAAGAACAAGGTATGTAAGACACTGTCATGGATGTCTTGCCTAGCACAGCCGTGAAATCTCCTTCTAAGGGATCTCTACAAAGAAGAGACGAGGATGGGTCAGGTGTGATCCTGCCTGGACACAAAGGAATGGACAAGATAGCTGCTCTAGTTTCCCTTCAAGCCTATGAGATTACTGTATAAGTCTCACTGGCCTAAAATAATTTGGCATAATATACCTCTCCTTACCTCCTCTTCATTGGGTTTCCCAAGGCCTCTGTGGCTGGGAACATTAGAGACACATGGGCCTTATTCTTGTCTTAGGGAGGTATCATAGAGTACTGGGAAAACATGTCGCTTGAGTCAAAAGATTTAATCCTCATACTGTGCAGGTCTCAACCTCTCAGAGACTCAGTGACCTCCTCTGTAAAGAAAGGATGAGAATTATTTACATCACCCACTTCACAAGAGTGTTGTGAACTAAGAGCTTTCTAAATCTGAAACCACAGTAACAATGTGAATTTCCATTCTAATTGTCTGTGGAACTTTGAGGAAGGCACTAACATTTTTGCCACTTAAATTTCCCTTTGGTTTAATACCTTGCGTGCCCAGAAGGCCCCTGTAGATTTCACATGTCACGTATCTCACATTGTCACTCATTAGCCTGTATTGGTTCCCTAGCAGTGATCAAGAAGGTGAATGATAAGATGCAGAAAAGGACAGTTTGGATTGGAATGGTGGGAGGGAAGACTGAAAAGTAGTCTATCTGGAGCTTGGAGCATTGCTACCGAGGGCAGGCTAAGCTGAAATGCTCAAATGAAGGGTCTGGGACAGGCTCAGGATATTATAAGGAGTCTGAGGAGGTGAGGGAACTGGAAGACGGTTTATAGGGGACTCAAAGATAAACTTCATCTATTTGAGAATCTGGCTTGGAACCTGCCCTTTCTGTAAACAATGATCTAGGCTGGTCTTTGTGACAGTGTGATCTAGAGTAGGTTATGCTATCTTTCCCAGCTGCATATTAACTGGATTTATGGGTAACGTGAAAGCTGAAGGGGATGGTTAATATGGGGATTGAAAGGAAGGTTCCTCACCCCCCCACCCCCAATCTCAAAGAATTAGAATAGTGGTTGAAGCTAATAAGATGAAATTTAATACTCAAATATATAAATATCCTCCATGGGGGATCAAAGTTCAATTGTACAAGCCCTTGTCGTGTAGTGGAAAGAATATTAGGATTAGAATCAGACGGACTGGGTTAGAATCTCAGTTCTACCAGTTAGTAGCAGGGTGACTCTGGCAAATGACTTTGCCTCTATAACCCTCAGGCTCTTTTTCTGTGAAATGAGGAGGTCAAAGTAGTTAGCCTCTTACAACCCTTGTGCTCTAAATCTTGGGACTCTATTTAGCAGTGGTGAGGTTTGGGGTAACCTTTAAAACAGCAGTTTCTATAGTGGGATCAGAAGCCAGACTGCTAGAAATTGAGGGGTGAATGAGTGGGGAGAAACGTCAATTAATAAGTGAAGATGATTTTTTGTAAGAGATATATAAAATAATAGTTTGAGGCAATGGAAAGATCAGGTGAAATTTTGTGTGTGTGTGTGTGTGTGTGTGTGTGTGTGTGTGTGTGTGTGTGTGTGTGCAATTGGGGTTAAGTGACTTGTCCAGAGTCACACAGCTAGTGAGTGTTATGTGTCTGAGGCCAGATTTGAACTCAGGTCCTCCTGGCTCCAGGGCCAGTGCTCTATTCCCTGTGCCACCTAGCTGGCCCAAGGTGAAAACTTTTTGAAGATAGATAAGTCCTCAGTATGGGCAGCTAGGTGATGCAGTGGATAGGGTGCTGGGCCTGGAGTCAGGAAGGCTCATTTTCCTGAGTTCAAATCTGGCCTGAGACACTTACTAGCTGTGTGACCCTGGGCAAGTCACTTAACTCTGTTTGCCTTAGTTTTCTCATCTGTAAAATGAGCTGGAGAAGGGAATGGCAAACCACTCCAGTATCTTTGCTGAGAAAACCCCCAAATGGGGTCACAAAGAATTGGATATGACTGAAAAAACAACTGAACCGAGCTGGTTTTTTTGAGGAGGAAGTACAGAGAAAGAGTCAGCAGATAGGGAGGAACTGGAATTCTCAATCACTGGAGGTCCCTAATTATAGGTTTTTTGGGGAATGTAGTAGAGAGGAATAATGCTTTGGGCAAGAGTTGGATTAGATGACTTCCGATGTTTTTTCCAACTCTCAAATTCTGATTCTTTGGAGTGGGGGGAAGGGGTTGGTGTCAGAATTTTATTGGGCACTTAAACTCTTCTCTTATTCCTTCCGGACTCCTACCCATTCTATCCTGCAGGTTCCGATCTCTCTAACGACACTGAGGTCATCATCACTGAAGTGGGTGAAACAGTATCCATCAACTGCCCTTTCCAGGAACAGAATGCACAGAACAGGAAATTCTTATGCAAGCAGGATGGAGAGAGCTGTGCACTGGTCATTGATTCTAATGAAAAAGTGGGCCCTGACTATACAGGAAGAGTCCGCTTAGAGATCACTGCCACCAGCAGTAATTTCTTTGTGGTTACCATCAGCCAGATCAACAGGGAAGATGTAGGGTTGTATATCTGTGGGGTCGGGGAGGACGATGCCTCTGAAATTGAGAAGACTGTTGACTTAAAGTTGCTGGAGGCTGAACCTGAACTGGTCTATGCTGAACAAGGGGGGTCAGTGACCTTGAACTGTGCCCTGGGAAGCACAGTGGCAAGTGTGCCTAAGTTTCTGTGCCAGATTAGGGCAAACAAGACTTGTGACTTGGTCATCAACAGCCTGGGATTTACAAATAATGCCACTCATGGAAGGATCCTGTTTACCCCTGCAACTGAGCCTGGATCTTTCAGCATCACAATCATGCAAGTGAGGAGAAAGGATGCAGGTCTATACTACTGTGGTGCCCAGGAAAATGGTCAGCCGTCTGAAGAAGGGCCAATTCGAGCTCTACAGCTCTTTGTCTCTGAAGGTGATTCATGGGAAAATTGAGGCAGAGAGGGAAGAGGCCAGACAAGTGATATTTCTCCTCAACCTCCATGTACCAATGTCTAAAATTTCCAGGGTCCAAGACATAGAAAGCTTGGTTCCTGTCTTCAGGGAATCTTTTGTCTCCCTCTTTTTGGCCACTATCTCCACTTAGTTTCTCTCCACAAATAACTGGAAGATTTCAGTCTTCCTATTTTGTCCCTCCTTTGCAATTGTGCTAAGAGATTTGGTAACAAAGGAGGAAAGTCACCGGCTAAAACAGACCTAAGAGATTACATATGATTTCAGTGGCCCAAGTTCTCCCTGTTTCCAATGGCAGAAACCATCAGAAGGGTGAATCTGAGAATTCTAAAACCATAGCAGGACCCAGTGGAGCCCATACTATCTCCCTCCCTACTTGCTAAATTAGACTGTATCTTTGTCTTGTACACTTGTGTGTAGGGTGGGAGTGATGGGGAAGACTGAGAATGTGGGTGGCAGTGAAGAAACTAGGTTATCTTACTCTTATACTTCTCCTGGTAAGTTAACTGTCTCTCTCGATTAGTTTAATGTCTCTCCCCCTCTCAGTCAAGGCTCTTCCTTCTTAATAACAATATTTTTAGGAAGCCAGAGGATGAAGATTTTTATCTTATGTTGATGTGACTTTTAACTGCATCTAAATCTTGGGGATGAGGTGAGGGAAGGGAAGGAAAATGCCCAGGTTATTTAATTAAGATGGTGGGTGCTGACTTCTCCAAACATTTTGGGAAACTTTGGTTTTAATCCTCTGCTAAGTGGAGCTAGGAGTTGTTTCAATTCTCAGTCTGCTTGGAGGTTGGTGAGGGAAAAACAATGCAAACAGAAGGAGGAAACTAGCAGTAAGTCATCTTAGATCATGGGGAAAAAAGTAACTCTAGGACTGTGTGAGATTACGACAATGCTGAGATCCCTCCAGTCAGCCTCTGTCTGTGCTTTCAGAGACCACTGTCCCCAAGAGTCCTTTGGTGGTAAAAGGTGCACCTGGTGGCTCTGTGTCAGTAACCTGCCACTACGACCCCAAAAAGAACAACACTCTGAAGTACTGGTGCAAGTGGAAGGACAGCAACCACTGTGCTAAGCTGGTAGACAATTTGGGAACGGTGAATGAGTCCTATGAGGGAAGAGTGGCCTTGTTGGACCAACCAGAGAATGGCATCTTCATTGTTATACTCAACCAGCTGACCCCTCAAGATGCAGGCTACTACTGGTGTCTCAGCAGTGGGGAGCACAACAGGAAGTCTACTGTGAAGATTGATATCATCGATGGTAGGAACTGGGTCAAGGGCAAGGGGAGAGGTAATATGGAGTTTGTGGACAGGCTCTATCCAGGGACCATTCCACAGGGCCAGGCATTAATGCTCAGAATCACACCACATTGGCTATTTCTTCTTCCACATATATTTTGACAATCTCCCTACCCTTCCACCCCAATCAAAATTCCAAATTAAGGTTTCCTCCCTTCAATTCCATGGCAGAAAATAATCCTAGGCAGGGGAAGTGGATAGGACAATCCAAGTTTCCAGGGAATGTCTCTGTATAAGACACAGTCTTCTTCTACACTCTGAGGCTCAACACTTAAGTACCCCGCTAAACCAGCAGAGAACATCGTTCCTCATTCGTTCTACAAGAATCTTTTCCCAATCCTTGTTAATGCCATTGTCTTCCCTCTGTTGATAATCTCCAGAATATCTGTACATAGTTGTTTGGATACCATCTCCCTTATTAGACTATGACCTCCGTGAGAGCAGGGCCTAGTTGTTTTTTTTTTCCTTTGTATATACCTCGACATAGTGCCTGGTAGATAGAAGGTGCTTAATAAATGTTTGTTGACTGGCTGACTGACCATTGAAGTAATAATTTTTACCCAAACAGACCAACCAGTCTTCTGTATTAACTAAAAAGATCTGAAAGGGAGCAAAAGTACATTGATGTCAATGCATCCATTCCATATGACCCAGTTCTGTGGATGTCCAGGAAGTCAATGTCAGTGGTGATAAAATGCTTGAATATCATTATTATTTATATATTGTCTACAATGTCATGAGAGGCAGCACAATGTAGTACTAGGACTGTTAAGTCTGGTGAAGTACCATATGTCTGCCATTAGAGAACCAGCCTTGTTAAATGCAGAAAAGCTCATCTCTAGAAAGCTGACCACTAGATAAGGGTGGAATGAGGAGTTGGCCATAGCAATTAATGAAAAATGTTTAGTAAGGTTTAGAGGGGTCCTATTTTATTATTAGCTGAGGAAGTACCCACACTGATGCAATATCCCTAAAACCTCAAAGTCATTTTATTTGAATGTCTATTATATATTGTATAATTATCTCCAAACTCCACGGCTCATAATGGCTTAGAGGTGACCCTGGAGTTTGTTTCACAGGCTGTTCCAGGAGTACCCAGGTTCTGATACACCAATCATGAGTAGGCTCAATAAGGTTGCACACACGACTTGGTTCAATTCTTCTCATGCCCACTGGTTACATCTACAGTCATTGATGCTATAGGTGTCCTCTTCTTCCTTTTGGGTGAAGAGACCAAGTCTAACCAGGCTCCCTCAATAGTAAATAGCATATTTATCTTAATAATAATGATTCTATCACTTACTGGCTGTGCAATCTTAGGTAAGATGTTTAGCTCCTATGAACCTCAATTTTCTTATTCATAAAATGAGAATAACAATAACTTCTTGCATATTTCATAATAGGGTTGGGGTGAGGAAGAATCACTCAGCCAATGACAATGTATCAAGTATCTATTATGTGCCATGCACTGTGCTAGACATGCTCAAATTGACTTCCTATTCCTCTTCGGCAAAAGCAAGAGTTTGGGTTCTTACTCAGGCTGACCTCCAAAAAACATAAAAATGAAACAGTTCCAAGCCCTTGAGCAGTTTACATTCTATTGAAATAAGATAACAAATATGAAGACATTTCCTAACCTGAAAGTACACTAATAAATCTAAGCTCTCGTTAATATAATAACTAGCCTAGCTCAGTAAATCAATCAACTAATATTCATTAAAAAAAATTGTTAGTCACTGTGCTAAATGCTGGGGATACAAAGAAAGGTAAAACCACAGTTCCTGCCCTCAGGAAGCTTATATTCTTACAGAACAGACAATATGCAAATAACTGTATATCTAGGATATTTCCAATATTAGTGGAAAGTATTCACAGACAGGAGACATTAGCAGTAAGGGGAGGAAGGAGACTGGGAAAGGTCTCCTGCTGAGCGTAAGATTTGAGTCTTGAAGGAAGCCAAGAGAAACTAAGAGAAAGCGTTAAGGGGGCAGGGCATTCCAGGTATGGATGACAACTAATGAAAAAACAAGCAGTCTGGAGGCGGGGCATTGTGTTTCAGGAACAGCGAAAAGGCCCGTGTCATTGGATTATAGAACATAAGGGTAGTAAGACTCAGAAGACTGGAAAGATAGAAAGGGGCCAGGTTGAGGATGGCTTTAAAACCCAAGCAGAGAAATTTCTATTTGATCCTGGAGAGCCATGGGAATTTATTGAGTAGGAGGGTGCCGTGGTCAGACCACCCTTCAGCTCATCACTGTCACGAGCGGCAGGGGCCTTAGATTCTTCTTCTGTATGGCCTTCCCTCCTGATGCCCTTCCTCTCACCACCCCATCATCACCTTGGCCTTCTGCTTTGTTCCCAGGTCAATCACGCTTAATAGCGCCAGAAACTGCCACAGCCCAGCTGGGGCAGTCTCTCACCATCCCCTGCCACTTTGACTGCAAGTTTTCTTCCTATGAGAAATACTGGTGCAAATGGAGCAACCAGGGATGTGAGACCCTGCCCACCCAGGAGGAGGGTAACAGCCAAGCCTTTGTGGACTGCGATCAAAACAGCAGGATTGTTTCTGTCACCCTGAACTCTGTCACAAGAGCCGATGAAGGGTGGTATTGGTGTGGTGTGAAGCAGGGCCAGAACTATGGGCCGACAATTGCAGTTAGTGTGTCTGTGGAGGAAGAGGGTGAGTCTTGTATGGAGAGGAGAACCCAGGCATCCAGGCAATGCCCAGAGTTCTAGTCTGGGCCACCCCCTTAGCTCTTGAACCTCCCTTCCTTCCTTCCTTCCTTCTTCCTTCCTTCTTCCTTCCTTCCTTCCTTCTCTCTCTCTCTCTCTCTCTCTCTCTCTCTCTCTCTCTCTCTCTCTCCCCCTCCCCTCCTCTCTCCTCTCCCTCTCTCTCTCTCTCTCTCTCTCTCTCTCTCTCTCTCTCTCTCTCTCTCTCTCTCTCTCTCTCCTTCTCTCTCTGTCTCTTTCATGCTTAGCGCTTAGTGTCCTACATGCTCTCTCATTCATTTGCCCATTCATTCATCCATTCATTCAGCACTTTGATGCACTAATTACATTCAAGGTACTTTGACAGTTGCTTGACTATCAGTGTAATGAGAAGAGTAGTGAATATGGAGTCAGAAGCCATGGGTTCAAATCCTACACCTGGAGCTTATTAACTGGCTGACATTGGGCAAGTCACTTTTCCTATCGAGACTTCTATCTTCTCATCTGTAGAATGAGGATGTGAAACAGAGGATCTTTAATCTGGGATCCCACAAAACCTTTTTGTCAATAGTGTGAGATGAAAGTGAAAGTCTCTCCATGGAAGCAGGGGGGTGGAGGTGGACTGTGCCCTTTAAGGTCTAATGACTCAGCTGTGTCAGCTGGGAGATGGCTCTGAAATCACACCATGAAGAGGAAAGTTAAACCTGGCTGACCTGGTCCCCAGCTCTCTAACCGTGTCAGAGGCACTCCTTGGGAGTTGTTCCAAGTATGTGCTTATTGCCAAACTACCACCAGAGGGCAGCATTTCCAGACCTATTCACCACCCCCCCCCCAAAGACGAGTTCTAGAACTTTGTGGCTTGGAAAGGACCTTTTGATTCTTTGGAGAAACTGTCCTCAACACAGGCATAGGAAGAGACTTAAAAAGGGGCTTGGAGGATAATATTGAAATAAGGTTTAATAGGGAGAGACAGTTTCAAACAAGCTAGAGGGGACTTTTTATTCCTCTTTAGCTAGACCCCTCCGTTTTTCTCACTGGAGTGGACCCATGATAGAAAGAGTGTGGGAAGAGTAAAGGATTTGGAGTCATAGGTCCTGGGTTCAAATTCAGCATCTGTCACTTACTCTAGTTGAGAAAGTTACCTGTGCAACTTTTGGGCAAATCACTGAATCTCTCTGGGGCCCAGTTTCCTCATCTTTAAGATGAGGGTGTTGGACTAGACAGGCCCTGAGGTCCCTTCAAAGCCTAGAGCTATGACCCCACAATCCCTCTAACCCACTATTAACTCTCAGAGCATTGACTGAAGCACCTCAAAGACCCCAAATAGGTTCCCTGATCCCTGAGACTCAGATGCGTCTCTTCTCAAACTTTAATGTAAATTCTTCCAGGCTTATCCACAAATGTGGTAGATTTGAGAAGAGAGCACTGCTGCTTACATGACCTGCAATTCAATGACCACCCAGCAAACATTTCTCAAGCACCTGGTGCCACTTCAGGTGCTGTGCTAGGCACTTTGGACATACAAAGATGAACATAGCTCCTTCAAGAAACTCAAGCTGCCTACATGAGCCCAAATAAGGTAGAACATGATGAGAGGCAAAAGAGGGATCTCAAGGATCCAGGAGCTCTGAAAAATTGGACAAGGAAGAAATCACTTTTAGCCAGAGAGAAATCAGGGAAGGCTTCAAAGGGAGGTTACACTTGAGCTGGGCTCTGAAGGAAGAGGAAGAATTCAACAAGTGAAGATGACTTGCTGGAATGAGCTGAGAAGCAGGGAGTGCATGGTCAGATGGGGCCTGGTTAGCAATCCAGTTTGCCTGGAGCATAGTAGAGTGCCCAAAGACTGCATAAGGGGGATGGAACTCAACTTGTCGTCTTAAATACCAGGCTGAGGAATCTGTATTGTATTCTGTAGGCAATTAGGAGCCACTAAAGGTGACCCTAACTTCTATTAGCCTTGCTCCTGATAGGGAATCAGTAAAATGAGGAGACTGGATCCTAAATGATCTCTCAGGTTTCTGCCAGCTCTGACAGTCTTGAGTCTGTGATCTTATTGGGGTTCTTTCAAAGCTGAGAGTGACCATTGTTTTTCCTTCTGTACAACCTATAACCCATGACCAACTCTGTTCTGCCTCAGGCTTCAGCAATGATGTCCAGCCAACCAATGTTGTGTTAAATGAAGATGCTGTGCAGCCTGAAGTCAGAGGCAAAAATATTGAAGTGCCTACAGATTCGGGAAGGTCAGCAAATTCCTTTTCTTTTCTTTTTTTTAATAGGGGCAGGTTACTCTGGAGCAGGTCCCAGGCAGGATAACAGGAAGGGACCATGCTCTCTTGAGGAATTCCTCAGCTTCATGGCTTGAATATGCAAAAGTTTGAAGCTATACCCATGGTCTTGTTCCTTGCTTTAGAGGGTCCTTTTCTGAAAGCACAGAAGCCCTAATTATGTCCCACCTGGTACCCTACCCCTAATTGGGAATTTTTCAGTTCTTAGGAGAAGGAAGGGATTCAGAATGTAGAGATAGTACAACCCTCATTCAAGCCAAGCCATCAGAGAAAGTGGGGACCAGAGTTAAAATCAGACCTCTGGAGTAATGGCTGCACGGAGAAGCAAAAATCACTCATTTTGGAGTCTAGAGATCTGGCTTTGATTTCCAGCTATGCCATTACCTATATAGATGACCTTCACCCCTCTGGGCTTCAGTATTCTCTAGAAGTGGAGTTGGACCAGGGGAATCCTTAAGATTTGACTCTTAAGATCTATTTAATATGCTCTCAAAGTCTCAACAAGCTTTGGGAGATAGAAGAAGTCTAACCTCCAACCTGTCTTCCAGTCAGCTTGGAACACCTCCTATTTCCACTATTCCTTTCTCTGTATTGCCAACCTCCTCATCCCCCCCTGCCCAACTTGTCTTTCTGCCTTTCTCATTCCAGCACTGAGGAACACAACGGAGGCTCCAACGTTCTGGTCTCCACCCTAGTGCCTGTGGCGCTAGTGTTAGCCGTGGGTGCAGTGGCATTAGGAGTGATCAAATCCCGACGCTGGAGGTACAGTGGTGAGTTCACCATTTCGGTTCCCAATAACCTAACACACAAACTCTTCTGCACTAACGGATAGAAAGGATTGAGCAAAGATAGAATAAAATGGACAGATTTCACTTTCTCTCTTTAGCCTAGTCTTATTAAGAAGCACGGGTATGAACAGTTCCGATAACTGAAATAGAACACTCTGGGGCAGGTGGGGGAACTACACATGGCTATAGGGCTGCAGGTTCCCCACCCCTGGTCTAGGGTAAAAAACCTTGAGATAGGAGACTTGGGAGTCTAGGTTCTGCTACTAACTGTAATAACCCTGAGGCAAGACACTTAACTGGTCATGGCCTCAGTTTGCCCCACATGCCAAATGAATATAATAACACCCGTCCTCAAAGAGTTGCTCTAAGTATCAAAACAGATAATGCATGTGAATGTACTTTTAAAAGTTATGAAGACCTATAAGTGCCAAGCATTATTGACTCTCAATTACCTGAAAGAGGGCACCCAGCCTAGGAATCAGGAAGATCTGGGATCGAGTGCTGCCCCAGACACATACATACTAACTGTGTGATTCTTGGCAAATTTCGTAACTGCTAAGTGCCTCAGGTTAGTTTCAAATACTGAAGAGTTTGCCAGTTTGTACAGGCAAAGAGTGCTTTCATTGGGATTTCTCTCTACTTAATCAATCAATCAATAAGGATTTATGCCCTGTTCCAGGCATGTTGCTAGGCTCTGGGCATACAAATATAAAACTGGAAACAGTACTTGCCCTCCAGGATCTTCCATTTTGCTAGAAGAAACAGCCTGTATGTGTGTAAATATTTACCAACAAATACAAACTGCTATTTGGAGGAGGAGGTGGCATTCTGGTAGGATGGGGTATTCTTCTCATAGGAGGGGGCATTTGAGCTGGGGTTTGAAGGAAGCTAGGGATTCTGAGTTGGATGTGAAGAAGGAGAACATTTCAAGCAGGGGGCACAGCCTGTGCAGAGGCCCAAAAGTGAGAGACGGGACATCAATGTGTAAAAGAAGAGAGAAAAGGTCAGTTTAGCTGGATTCCAGAGACTTAAGCTCACAGGTCACTCCTAAAAAAAAAAACCTCTGATTACAGAGGGGACAGAGATACAATTATCATGCAAAGATCATTTCTGTTCAACTTGGGAATGTAGTCAGACCCTCACCCCATCCTACCTCTGGCTGTGGCATACAGTTCCCAGTGTTTAATTTTGAATCTCCTAGTGTTTTTGAAACAGCTAGGTGATCCAGTGTACCAGACATAGAGTCAGGAAGACTTGAGCACACATCTGACTTCAGACACTTATTAGCGGTGTGATATTGAGCAAGTAACGTAACGTCTGTTTGCCTCAGTTTCCCCAACTGTAAAATGGGGATGATAATAGCACTTAGCCCCCAGGGTGGTTGTGAGGATGATATATGTTAAGTGCTTTGGAAACCTTATCTATTATTATTACCCTTCTCCTCTGCCTCCCCACATGTAATTGTTCTTCCTTGGACAGATCGAATTTCAGTTGGAAGCTACAGAACTGACCTCAGCATGTCAGAATTAGAGCATAACCCCAGGCAGTTTGGAGCCAATGACAACTTGGACATTTCTATTCAGGAGTCTACTCTAGGAGGAGAAAATGGTATGACCTTCCACCCAAGGGAGCCTTCAGGAGGGTGCTTTAGTTCTCTGTGGGAGGACAGATCCAGGAGGGGAGTGTGTCGAAGAGGCAACCTGGTCTGAGGCAAGCTGGGATTGTAGATTCCGAATCAGAGAACCTGGGTTTTGAATACCAATTCTGCCACTGAGTCCTTGTGTGGCCATGGACAAGTCACTGAACCTCACTGGGCTCTACCCTGTTCCAGCTCTGGATGGGATGTTTCCCAACTGTAAAATGAAAGGGTTGAACTAGACCCTTTCAGGCATTGTGCCTGAAGCTAATTATTTCTAGCTCTAAAATAGGGCAAGAATATTAGCCTTGGGAAGAGAGGCTAGAGTGGGAGATGGGCCATTTCCCTGGGAATTCCTAATTGGCCCTCTATTCTTCCCACAGAATGCATCACTCCGACTGAGAACCCTGAGGAGATCCAAGAACCTAAGCAAGTCAAAAGGGTAAGGAGGGAGACTGGCAACTTCACCACAAGAGAATGAGAGAGTTGTAGTTAGCACTGGGTATCATTTCCAGTCCTACCTGTGGGGGCTGTGAGATACCAGTATAGGGTGAAAACCTCTTCACAGAATATTACTGCCTTATTTTACTTCTGAGGATGATGGAGTGATGCTGTGTATGCATGGGAGGGGAGAGGAAGGAAAGGGAGGGGTGCCAAGTGGGCTGCATTTACGGCTAGCTCTTCCCTTTTGAGTAGGAGTAGGAAAAGGCTGTTGAAAATACAGTCCAAGAATAGAAATCAAGTGATCGGGTGGTGTATTTTTCCCCCCTTGGTATCGGACCAGATTGGCTACCATATTTGGGGGTGCTGCTCAACACATCTTTAAGCAGAGGTAAACTAGGCAGTTGCCAATGAAGTGTGATTTGAGGAGCACAGGGAGCCCACTCAGATGGCACAATGCCTGAAATCATGGATGAATGTCAAAGCTCTGATTAGGCAGTTACTAAGATCCAAGCACAGTTTAAGCACTGGGTACAAATAGAAAAGTAAGACAGTCTCTGCCCTCGAGGAACTTACATTTTAATGAGAGAGATAATACATAGTCTTACAAATAATGTTACATTCCCTTGAGTTAGGTATTTCCCTCTCTTGGTTTTTCTGTGCAAGAAAAGTGTTCTCTCTCTCTCTCTCTCTCTCTCTCTCTCTCTCTCTCTCTCTCTCTCTCACACACACACACACACACACACACACACACACTCACACGCATGGCTGTGCATGCGTGTCTGTCTGTCCATACCTATCTAGGTTGAATGCTCCGGTTGTACTGAATTTTTTTTTCTACCCCCGTTCCTTCTCCAGGGAAGCTAAAGGGTAGCAGAGGCTGTTCTACTCCATGGTTCGAAAGAGGGTAGTGAGAGCAGGACAGGTAATTTTAGGGATCTGATCATCAGATAGTCTGTAGGCCTTCCCCCACCCCCTCATCTACCTGCAGGTTTAGGGTAGAATACCTCTGCATTGGGTCTAACACAGAGGTCAGGGCTCTACAAGGCAGTGAATGGTTGTGCCTCTGTGTACTTTGGAAGCATGGGCAAATACTTCAGTCTTCTTCACTCTGCTCCCCCCCCCATCCTTCCCTCCCCACTGACACAAAAAGAGCTGAAACCTATTGTTTCTCCCCAGTCTTCCAAGGAAGAGGCAGATATGGCCTACACCGCCTTCCTGCTGCAGTCTAACAACATGGCCAATGAAATTGCCTTGGATGGCCCCAGTAATGCTTAACCAGTGGATCTCTCCATCTGCATCCTGTCTCCCACCACCCTCTGGTTCAATCACTTGCATGACCTCCAGGATCACCCTTTTTCAGACTCTCTCAGCAACCCAGCACTTCCCCTGCTCCATGTGATCTGCACATCTGTCCTCCTCACCGTCCCCTAACATTGTCTGCTCGCTACCCAGGGTTTGTGGCTTGGTGACTCCAGCCTGGGCCTAATTTTCCCTCCTCACCTTTTTCTCTGAGAAGGTAGATGATCCAACAGTTCATCAGCCAGCTTAATTTCTATTGATTTTCCCACCTCCTTACCCTCACCGAGGCAGTGTAGCGAAGGGGGGAAATGAAGAACTTGAAGGAAGCGTTCTGCTTTTAGAGGGACGGGGAATTAAATCATTTCTCTAGACCTCCATTCCAAAGAAGTCAGTGGGAACTAAGATCACACCACATTCCACACTCCACTGATTAAAGGGCCTTTTCCCTCCCTTATGTGGAAACTTCAATCTATTCCCTAGAAGGAGGTTGCTTGTCACATGTCAAACCCTTATACCTTACTTTCTGTTGCGATTCAGAGAAATCTTGAATGTCAGAATTAGAAAGGACCTTAGGGATAGTGCAGTCCACCCACCCCATTTTACAGAAAAGGAAACTGAGGTACAGTGAGGGTAATTTCTTCCCTAAGGGACACGAAGCTGAGCTAGGACTAGAAGCTCTGGCTCATTCCACTCTATCATGGCTGGAAAGGAGAGGGTGAGGAGAGGGAGGCAGATTTGCCACCTTAGACAGACCAAAAGAGACAGGAAGAAAAGAGGCACTGGATGTGCTATGGAGCCTTCCAGCAGCATCCTTTCTCTCCTGGATATGGGACGAAGGGCAGACTAATCACACATCACTCTCCAAATTAACAAGGTGGGAAAGGGGTAATGATTAGGGTAGGGAAGAGGATGATTTTCAATAAATGATTTTTCCTTTGAGTTCTGTTATCTAAGGCTGGAGAAAGAAATGGCTAAGAAAGCACCAAACGAGGTCTCGAAGAGTTGAAGAATCGGATAGAGATATGATTAAACCCCTGAGCAATAACAACAGCAACCTAAGGCAGCATCCATGGGTAACAAGCTGATGCTTCACTAATTCAAGCTACTGATTAAATGTAATGATTGTCATTATTCCAACTGCACTTAAGTTGGGTACCTTCTCAAGACACTCATCTTTGTCAGTCAATTGAAAAAAGCATTTGGGCAGCTGGGTGGTGCAGTGGTTAGAGCACTGGGCTTAGAATCAGAAAGATTCATCTTCATGAGTTCAAATCTGGCCTCAGACACTTACTAGCTGGGTGATCCTAGTCAAGTCACTTAACCTTGTTTGCCTCAGTTTCTTCATCTGTAAAATGAGCTGGAGAAGGAAATGGCAAACCACTCCAGTATCTTGGCCAAGAGAATCCCAAATAGGATCAAAAGGAGTCATGACTGAAAACAAACAAAGTGCCTGCTGTGTGCCAGTCACCACACTAAGCAGTGGAGACACAAAATGAAGCCAAAGATAGTCCCTACTCTTAAGGAGTACACTCATATTGACACTGTAACAGGCCACTTGTTCTAGAAGGGCCCTTATACCTTCTCATTGCCCGCACAAATTCCTTTGCTATGGTTTACCTCCCCTTCAAGGCTGATTTGATGTAGAGCCTTCACAAGATTTCTAGTTCCCAAGGCCAAGAAGGAAGGACATTCTAATCCTCTCAAAACACAGCCTAGACCATCACCCACTTTGAGCTCATAAGACTCTGCTTTGGAGTCCAGCTGAATTCAGGCTGAATTGAATTGTATTGAACCGAATACATCACGATCCCTCAGTTAGTCGAACACTTTACATTTACAAATATCCATTATCAAAACTTTTTTTCCTCTGGGTTTTGGTTTCCTGTGATAAGTAGGGGGCTGGGTTTTTGCTGTCTGTCCTTGGGAGTGGGGGGACTGTTGGTGTATCCTCATTCTTCAAGAGGAACCAAAGTCACAGACAGGTTCAGCAATTTGTCTACGGTTACACAAGAAGATAAGGGTAGAGGCTGGTGTTCTTTCTGCTTCATCTTTCACATTAACCAATGGCTCTCATGGTAAGCAGCTGGCAGCCAGGTGGCAGTCAGATAGACTGCTGAACCTGGAGTCAGGAAACCCTGCCTACTTCGTATACTTACTAGGAGCTCGACCCTTGTCAAGTCACTTAACTGTTATCTGCCTCAATTTCCTCACCTGTAAAATGGGCATAATAATATCACCTACCTCCCAGGATTATTATAAGGAGCAAATGAGATAATATTTGTGAAGCACTTGGTAGCACAGAGTCGACACATAGTAAGTGCCTTATAAAATGCTAGATATTATTCTTATGAGAAATAAAGTGTTGGGCAGGCCTGGGACCATCCTGGTAGCCCCAACAGCACCAATTCAATTCAGCAAGCATTTGTTAACTTTCCCTTGTAGATAAGACACTGCGTGTAGAGACAGGTGCTGGATCTTCACTTTTATTGGTCTAGAACACCCCTTTTACCAGTGCAGATTGGCACCTCTGCAACTTGCAGTCTTGGAGACTTTCCTAGGGCAGTGAGAGGTTAAGTGGCTTGCCCAGTCAGTATGGTCACACAGCTAGTATGTGCCATAAAAAAGACTTGAACCCAGGTCTTCTTGGCTTCAAAGTTGGCTCTCTATCCACTCCTCTACACTGCTACTCAGGTACTGGGTTACAAAGACTAAAACAAATAGTCCCTGCTCTCAAGAACTTAGTGCTTGGAGTAATGGGTTGGGAGACTATTTGGCTGAAGTTGGGTGAGTCAAATAATGGAATTGAGGAACACAGGGATATGACCCTGTCCCCATCTAGCCATCCCTGCTTTGTACTAATCACTGGGGATACAGAGAAAAAAAGCAAAACAGTCTCTGTTCTCAAGGAGCTTACATTCTAATGGGGGTGACAACATATATGAATCGGGACATACGGGGTGGGCAGTGGTCATGCTTTGTAAAATTGTGAAATGGATGAAATTTGATCAGTGGTGTCCACCAGGGTGGGATAAACTCCCCAGAGTAAATCAGGAGTTTCTCTGAATAAATTCTGAGAGGTGACTCAGGCCCTGGGTGCTTGCCCGAGAGAAGACTTAGAGGGGCAAGAGATCTGTCCTCAAGTATCTGAAAGACTGACAAATGAAAGAGGAATTAGGCTTGTTCTAAATTGGCCCACAGGGCAGAACCAACAACAAAGGGTGGAAAAGGCCGATTTAGGCTTGATATCAGGAGGATGCTTTCCAATCATGGGAGCTGTCCAAAAATGGAAGGAGCTGCTTCAGAAGAAAGCTCCTTTTTATAGGTCGTCAAGGAGAAGCTGGAAAACCACTTGGTTATGTTATAGTGGGGGTTGTTATGGGCATGGGTTGGACAAGATGGCTGCTGAGGGCCCTTTGAACTCTCTAATTCTATTATCCTGGGATCCAATGTGATTTTATCATCTAAATTTCTGATTGCTGCTTCAGTTGCTGAGCAACTGAATGTTACACATAATAGATAGTACTTACACTTGACCACTAACTTTGAGCCCCAGTCCTCCCACATTGCTACTGTAAGATGCTTATTGATCCAGGCATCCATCCTCTACTTCTGTTCTTTGCCACATACCAGACAAGAGACCAGATCTACAATTTTGGGGTGGGGGTGGGAGTGGATATGTACAAAGAACCTCTGCTCCAATACTGCTTCAATCCTTCGTCATGGTCACCAGGGGATGACTTTTTTCAACCACAGAAACCCTTGAAGACTATCCACTAAGATGCATAGGGCCATAGATTTGAAGTTGGAAAGGGCTTAGGGGTCTTCTGGTCCATCCTCCTTCCCTTTACAGATGAGGAAACAGAGACTTAATTTGCTCAAGATCACACAGATAGGGAAGTAGTGAAGCCAGGATTCAAACCGAGGTCTTCTGATGCCAAGCTCAACTCTCCTCCAGCACCATGGTTCCATATAGAAGGAATACACTTTGTCCTCATAGAAGGAAGGAAAGAAAGACGTGTTTCTTAAATGCCTTCTTTGTGCCAGGCTCTGTGCTAAGCACTTGTATGGCAACTACTGTTATTATTCCCATTTTTCAGGCACTGAGCTAAATGCTTTTTTACACATATTGTCTCATTTGATCCTCACAACTATGGGAAGTAGGTGCTATTATTATCCCCATTTTACAATTGAGGAAACTGAGGCAAACAGAGGTTTGTGACTTGCCCAGGGTCATACAGCTAGTAAGTGTTTGAGGCTGGATTTGAATTCATGTCTACTTGATTCTAGGTCCAATGCTTTATCATTTAGTGGAGAGACTAGCTAAACTGACAAAGTCATGGATTGTTGGTGTGTTTAGGTTAGTATGGAGACCATGTGACATAATAAAGCACTGAACTTGAAGTCAGAAAGTTCTGGCTTCAAATTCTGCCTCAGACACTTACTATTTGGGTGATATGACCCTGGGCAACTCAAAAACCTCTGTTTGCCTCAGTTGCCTAAACTGTAAAATGGGGATTAAAAAGACCTCATACAGTTGTCTGATGATGACGATGATGACAATGGTGATGTATTCACAAGGAGGAGAAGCAGTCTGGCACAGTGAAAGAGTACAGTCTTGGAGTCAGAAAAACTTTGATTCATATCCTTCCTCTGTGACCTTGGCCAAATTGCTTAACCTTTTATTTTCCCAGTTAACTCTTAAAGACCACAAGTTGAAGATGAATTGATGATCTACATCCATGGAAGGAGTTTCCATTCCAAAAGTTCCCCATGCCTTTAGAATGACAAGTGTGGACTATTTGAAAGAAAAGAAGTGCTTGAAAGAAATACTACCCTGGGTTCATAGTTAATTAGAACCATATTTTACAAAAGAATACTAGTCAAATTGAATGGTTCTGTGGCTTTCTAGTCTGACTAGATTTCTGAGCTGACTCTCAATGGTTATCTGGGACCTGGACTGTGCCCAAATTCAGATGGGCTTTCTTCTCCCCAGAGCACTTTATGCCAGCATTGGGATCTATCCAGCCCAGGTCCCCTGGATAGACTCCATTTGTCTGTTGCAAAACCTGCCAAGCTTCAGCTTCCTGTTTCTGGTTGGCCCCTGGTGCTCTGTCCCTGCATCCCTGGTGACTGGACTCATTGGGTCCAGTCTTTACAATTGAAGAGAAGCAGGAAGATGATTATTTTTAAAATGTATTACTATCTTTTAGTTTCACATTATTTTCATTTCCCAATATACCTTTCCCTTTGCCCCGTCCTCAGAGTCATCCCTTATAACAGAGGGGAAAAAAAGCAATGTTTTAGGGCAAAGCTTACCAATGCATTAACCAAGTCCATGAGTATATTCAGTGGGATGGGAATTTTTTTAAGTATACAATGTTCCCCTCATTCAAAAAAAAAATTCCCTCCAAAATACATGAAGACATACTCCATTCATTAGACTCTCTGAGATAGCTCCACCCTTGACCTCTCCCCCACATCTCTTGCCCTCTAGGGACACTCTCAACCCCATGACCAACTCAGCTAGACTTTCCATTCATGAGATAAAAGTAGCTCATAGAAATTCCCCAATTGGGTAGCTAGGTGGCATAGTGGATACAGCACTGGCCTTGGATTCAGGAGGACCTGAGTTCAACTCCTGCCTCAGACACATAACACTTACTAGCTGCGTGACCCTGGGCACATCACTCTACCCCATTGCCTATCTAAAAAAAAAAGAAAGAAAAGAAATTCCCCCCAAATGCTTCTCTCTAGCTGAAGGTCCTTTGTCTTTCCGTCTGGGTAGGTTCTGGGGTTAAGCTGCTCATCTTACAATGGCACACCAAGGTCAAAGGTCACAAGAGTACTCTTCCCTTCTGACTACCCTTTGTGCTCCACAGAGTAAGCATAACCCTATGTTTAGGCCAATTAAGTTGTCTCCCATAGTGTGGTTTTAGCTGATAGTAATA